CATTCATTAGGAATAAAGACTTCTGAGTTCTGGTGCATTTGTGTGTGTGGGGGTCATTATGTTACCGCTATGTGGTATCTAGTTTTTATTTAAATTAAAATTTAAAATAAGGGGATGAGGATAGCAATGAATTTTTGGTAATGAAAGATTAAATGATGATAATTTAGGCAGATATTTCCTCAGCCAAGGGACTCTCACCCATCTTGGTTAGATTTTGTTCAACTCAGTGCTGTGGGTTCAAAACAAACTAACTTTTTTATGGTGCTCTTGTTTGTGAGATTTTTCTAATACAAATAGTTATAAATAGGTCAGCTTCCTAAAATGTTTGTGAGGTTGTGTGCCATTCCACTGAGTAGTCAGTATCTTACCTACAGTAAACAGCAGTCAGGGTAATCATGATGAAACGTGGTGGGAAACACAACTCTCAGAATAGCATCATTTGATAATTAAGTAACTTTATATCATCCAAGTGATAGCGAGGGATTCTGCRACTGCTGTTACTGGGTCTACAGGGAGTATCCAATGCGAGTGTAGCCGCTTGACTGCACCCCATCAAGGAGTAGTTGGGGTCTCCACGTGATGAGGATACCYACATGTTGGTGTCCTCTGATGGAGAAAAGGTTAATAATCTCTGGTTTTAGGGATGATAGAATTTATACAGGCATAGCCTTGATCCAGGAACCTTGGATAGTTAAGTTTATGGTACGAGGCCTGGGGGCACACTTCTATATGATGTGAGCAGCCACAGACCCAGAGCAGTAGTAGCTCTGACAAGAAGTGTGAGATACACTGCACTATGCTAACAGGTGATGCTGTAGCAGTTGTTTTTATTTTTTACATTATACTGCAAAGCAACATGTTTAGTTAATTTTGTCAAATGAATAACTAATTTGTTTTGTGTGTGTGTTATATCGCAAAATTTATCATTATTGTCAGAATTATCTGAAATATCCCATTATTATTTTTGAGCCATATCGCATATCCCTAACTGGAATATAATCCCAAGATAAATAGGGCAGGATACTTTAAAATGTTTTTAAATAATCTTTGCTGTTATTTTTCTAACTACCTCCAGAAATGCCTTGATTTTGTTACATTTTCATAAGCAAGGTAACAGTGTTATTTTCTCCTCCATAAATTTTGTACACAAACCTAAAATTCATTCAGTTTTACAGGTGAGTGTATTATCTCATAGTCCACTTATACTGTAGTCATCTAAATTTTGTACTAATGGATTGAATGTGAGCTTTGGTGCAAGTTAAATTCAACTTCTCAGGGGTAATTTCCACTCCTAATTCCTCACTCACTGTTGTCCGAATTTTGCATGTACTATCAAGTTTGCTCATGGTTTTATACATAGTAAACCATTGAGAAATTGAAGCCTAAWGGTATATCTGTGTGTGTTTCACAGGTATCTTCACAGCACCAGTTGCAGGTGTTTATTACTTCTGCTTRTTCTATCAAGTTGGAGGAGAACATSAATCAAAGCTGRWTCTTTACAAGAATGCTGGCGTGATGATCATGACCTATGAGCCCSCTTCACAATCAAAGGCAGATYTGGGAGGAAACGCTGTCTTCCTGCAACTCCAACAAGGCGACACMGTGTTTGTTAAAATGGCAGCAAAATCACATGTTTGGGGAAATAACCAATTCACCACTTTCCATGGGTTTTTAGTCACAGAAACATTAAAAAAGGGTGGATTTTTTTAAAGTGTAGATATACCGTTAATACTTACATAACAAAATACTAAAACATAATATAAACATTTATTTAAAATATCTACTGTAATTWTTATTAATCTATTTTGATGTTGGTTTTTATATAAGAACCTTTCACCAACTGAATGAAGTCTTCAAATTTGTTATAATTTGCAGAATTAGTTATTTCTAATCGGAGGTCGAAGGAGGGAGTTCGTCTGTAAAATATGAAAATAAATAAATAAAATCCAGATCATTTTGATTAAACTTTTAAAACATGTTTGAGCCAGATGTTGCGCTAGACTTTTTTGCTGTCCGTCATTTTGACTGACAGGGCAAGAAAAATCCGTCATGATCAATTTTTACCCATCACTGTTTTTAAATGATAATGACTTTGTATGTGGTTATTGTCATGTTGGTTTTGCAGTTTTGCCTCAGATGCGGCACCTGCAGGATTTTATCAGAGAAAATCTCATCAGTGCACCTCACACTACAGGACACCTGAGCACATGGTGCTGAAAAACAGTGCATCTGTCCCACACTGCACAATGTGACGCGCACACATAATGTCCCGCTTTTGACTCAATTTACCTTATGAAAAGTTAAATAAAAAAACAAAAAAAATCTACAAATGTTATTTAGTGGCTGCAGTTTGCAACATTATGCATCCATATTTTTGTCTCTGCCTCCTTTGCAGAAGGATGAGAAGAGAGAAAGACATGAAGGCAGAGATGCAGTCAGCTGTTAATCACAATGCACCGCTGCCACTGTGTTAAAATAATGTTAAATAAAAACAGAAACAGAACATGGATTTGATTTATGCAATAAAAAGTCTAGTAATTTAAAAAAACTCAAGGAAAATCTCGAGTGATGCACAGTGAGTCTACATCTGCAGGCGCCAGTGGTTCTCGCTCTGCTGTGACACTGTTGGGATAACAAGCACCACTTCAGCCAAAGTTTTAAAATCAGAAAACATTTCTCCAGTCGAAGTGATCAGAAGTCAGCAAGACTTTATTTCCAAATCCCACAAGCTGATGCTGTAGCAAGAGGAAATTCAGCAGCGAGCTCGTGCTGCACCACTGGTTCAGCTGTGCCTCACAGACGCGCTCCAAAGACTCCTGTCCTTCTTCAATGCTCTGTCAGCTCTTGAAGATGCATTCAGTATGGTGTCTAGATCTGAGATGATCAGATGGTCATCTTTTATTTATTTTAGATTAAATAAGACACCTCCTTTATGTAGACCTGCTCAAAGCTGAAAATGTCTCTGTGTGAGTGTGATGCCATAGAGCCGTCTTGTGAAGCCTCGTTGCTACAGCCTGGATCTCAATGCAGCAGATKGAGTGCTTTCCCCGATCAAAGGACAGCGAGCCGACCGCTTCAGCTCTGTGTCCCAGAGGAGGATCTACACTCACTGCACCTAAATTCATATTATCAGGCATATTGATAGGTGCCTTCCAACCTAGGCGGTAGACCTCCTAAATGTTTAATCTGGATTTTATTTATTTTTAGCTGGATAGCTTTAGCAAAACTACCCTGTTGTCAGGGAAACTGTAAACATCCAGGAACCGTGGGTTGAAAGGCTCTGAGACTGTCACCAAGCTGTGGCACAGATCGGAAAACAAGCAACGCTGTACTTTGTTTGTATTTCAGGCCAAACTGGAAATAAAGCTCAATGATGTCACGTATTTCCATTTCAGTACACACACAGCAAGTCCAAAATATCTGAAAGATCCTGTGAGGTATCTAGTGGGCACGACTTACTAAGTGGTGCGCACGACTTACTAACTGGTGTGCGACTTACTAACTGGTGCGCACGACTTACTAACTGGTGCGCATGAGATAATTTTTTTTCCATTCCAGGTCCCTTTAGGGGCTCAGTAGTGATTCAAATCCTGGCTGTGAACTGTCCAGTGACAGTGTCAGGCTGTGCTTGGTTTCCACATTATAATCCTACCAATTTTCATCAAGCTATGATTTTCCTGATTATCCAAAACCATCCAGTGGAGAACAAATCCACTGAGATGAGTAAAAAACAGGCTGTAGGGTTGGCAGATAAAATCTCTATGGACACAGCTCATGTGTTGAACAGTGAATATGAACTTCTGCCCTCCGAGAGGAGACTACGATGAATGTTTATAATGTGTGTGTTGTCTTTATGGGAGGCATCAAATATATTATGTAAACCAATTTTCCATTTTTTATGGGCAATAAAGATTTTTTAATCTGTTTTCTTTGACTATTAAAACTGCTGACATTGCTCATTTTCTGTTCAGAGGCGAAAATGTGCATCGTGGTGCATTTAAGMTTTTTTTTTTAAGAACAATTTTGTTTCATGCAGAAAAGCCAAAGTTTGAAGCCTCAATACTCCCACAACCTCTGATTAAAACTCTGATAAACTTTAATGCCTCAGAGGTATTCTGACCAAATCTGAAGGTGCTCAACATGTGTAAAACCACAAAATGTTCTTTCTGATTCAAAATGGGTTCCCAGAATTTCACAAATTTTTATGTTAGTCAAAAAAAATTCATTCAACATAATAAT